GGACACATGCTCCCTCTCCCCTCATACCCACATGCAGCCAGCCTGCTCCAAGTCTCACTTTCTCTCTGGAGAGTTTTCGAGAACAATTCAGCAGGAACATTCTCTTTTCTCTCCACGGCAACATATCACTCTACTGCATGGATGTGCCGGAATTTACCGACCCTTCCTTCTGCTGGTAGATCCTGGGGTCGCTTCCAGTTGTTTTATGTGAGCTGTAGTGCCACAGTAACTTTGTGTATCCATCCCTGGGCATGTGATTCAGGTGTATGATAGAACACATCCCAAAAAGTGAAACTTAAATCAAAGAGCATGGGTATTTTAAAATTTCAACAGATATTTCCAAATTGTGATTTCTCTGTTCATCCTTGACAGATAAATTTTGCAGCATCAGAGGAGAGTAGATTACACAAATTAGCTTTTTAATCATGATGTTTTCTATCTGTAAAGTGCTTTATACTTTATATATTTGAGACCCATGATAATCCCAAGAAATGAATCAGACAGGATTATTATACCCATTTTACAGAATGGGAAACAGAGGCCAATCAGAGTTTAGCGAGCTGCCCAAGTCATGAAGTTAGTAAGTAGGAAAGCCCCGTTCTTCCGATTTAAGTCATTTTCTGATTAAAAGATTTATTGACTGGTTGGTTCTTTTTTATTTTAAAGAATCACCCTTATTTGTGAAACTACATAGCAGGAAAATGACTCCTCCTTTGGAGGGAGAGCTTTCTCACCGGCCTGAACAATATGTGATCACAGTTGCTAATGTGCATTGCGTGCTTGCCATGTGCAACTGCACCAGGGTCTTCACTTTCTTGTTCAGCCCTCATCTCCACACCTGCACTTCCACCTGTGCTGTTGGGCTGGAGATAAGACACCCTATATGGTCACGGGTGTCTTTCTGTAGAAGCTGTGGTGCTGGTTGAGTCTTTTAAACATGGGTGCTTCCTGTATGCTCACCTTCCTCAACAGCATCATGACATTCAGCCCTTAATATGTGCCAGGGGTTTCACCGAGCAGCAGGAGTACAAAGTCCCTCTCCTGGAGGAACCGAGAAGGCGCTGGAGAGAGGGGTGTTGCTGTGAACTAGCAGACATCCGAGGAGACACCCAAGCCCCGTACGGCACCTCTCAAGTGAAAGGCCTACAGCCTGCTGCTGGAGTTCTGGGGGGAAGCAGTCACTATGTGGTGAGAGGAGGTGGGCTCCCAGCAGATGGGCAGAGTCCATGAGTGCTGGGGTCTGTGAGGGAGACAGTAGGCCTAGTGGACTGAGGCAGGAGTCAGGAGCAGGAGCAAGCACTGAGCAGGTTCAGAGCGTCCGCCCACCAGCAGGACCTCATCTTGAGTGGAGGACACCTGGAGATGTTTGAGTAGGAGAGTGACACTGACCAGCCTGGGGTTGGGGAAGACATGATCAGGCAATATGCTCAGAACCCCAGGACACAGGGAGGGTCCCAGCCTGGGGAATTACTTACACTCACTGTGGGTCCAGAGTCCTTTAAAGGGGCAATACCGACAGTCATCACAGTGGTTTGTCTAAGTCTCAGGCACGTGCCAGGGGCTACTGAATCGCCGGAAGTCAAGGAGGTTCAAGCCCCCACTCGGGTCACACAGGTAGCGAGTGACCTGGCAAGTCCTGTCCGTCAGTGTTTCTGACTCTAGGGAAACTTTCACGGCACTCCCGGCTTGTGCCTCTCTCCAACTCTGCAAGCAACGCAGGTCTGGAGTGAATGGGGCCAGTTATGGGAAGGAGGCAGCTGAGAGATGTGCCCAGGGCTCCAGCTCTCTTTCAGAGCCCTCAGGAGTCCCAAGCCCAGTTGGAGGATGGGAGCTGGGATCTATATCCTCAGCAAGGAGGAACGTCAGGTGGTCCGGCCTTCCCTGTCCAGGAGCCTTGCAGGGATGGACATTGGTCTTGGGAGGCCCAGCCTTCCTTGGAGGACCGTGGACTCCTCTCTTATCCTGCGGGACCGAGATACACGGTGCTAAGCTGGATCCTGCTGCCAGATGCCTGCCACCAAACTCTCCTGACAACTGGAGCCTGATCTTGGTTTTACTTTCTGTACCATGGTACCATAAGACAAGTTTAGAAGACAAAAATAACCTTGGAAGTATCTCGTTCATTCGTGGCAATTACCATACAATGACATGCTCTGTAACAATGAAATTCTGGGGTTTTTATGACTCACTCCCACATGCAGAAGCCCAGGCTTCTGGGCCTTTATGCCAGCCTGGTGTGACAGGGTCACTAGGCCTGGCAGCCATACTCTCCAACAGACTGGCCCGTTGAGCCAGGACTTCTCCTAGCCAGCTGTCACCACACCAGTGGCTCCTGCTTTTCCACAGAGACACACTGTCCTCCAGGGGCCAGGCTGGAGTGATTGCCCTGGGGGTCCTTCTCCAGAGCAGGTGGGCCTGTCCCCTGTGCCACGTCAATCACAGCTTCTGCTCAAAGCTTTTGTTCACGGGTCGTCTGTCCCTTCACGGGTCGTCCCTTGAATGCCGTCCCTTGAATCCCATCTCCTGGGTCAGAGGGACAGTCATCCACCTGCCCATTTCAACAACCCACTCTCCTGTTCAAGTAGCACCATGTGCCTGCTCTGGTCCAGCCTCATGCCTGGTCTGGACACCCAGAACCCAAAATGCCAGCCCTCAGAAGACCTAAGGCATGGAGGGAGGCAGCTGGGACAACTGAGGTTGGTCCAGGCAACACAGCACAGGGTGACTCATGGGAGGCCAAATTGATCTTGGCTAGTGAAGAAAAATCTCAGCAGTTATAAACAGGACAGTGCTCACAAAATGACAGTGCAAGGAGCCTGGCATCTCACAGAGGTGACAGTGCGAGGTGCGGTCGCAGTGGGACCTGGTATCTAATGGAGGGGACAAGGTGAGGTGCAGTCACAGCAGGGCCCAGCATCTACCAGAGGTGACAACATGAGGCACAGTCACGATGGGGCCTGGCATCTAATGACGAGGACAAGTCGTGGTGCAGTCACAACAGGGTCTGGCGTCTAATGAATGTGGTAACACGAGGCACAGTCACGACGGCCTGGTGTCTCATGGAGGTGACAGAGTGAGGCACAGTAACAACAGGGTCTGGCATCTAAAGGAGGTGACAAGGCAAGATGCAGTCATGGTGGAGCCTGGCATCTAACAGAGGTGACAACGTGAATCTCAGTCTCAGCAGGGCCTGGCAACTTTATGGATGTGGACTCTGCTTACATGCAGGAAGAGCTGCCTTCACTAGGGGGACTAAGGAAACTACCCTCAGACACAGGACTCAGTGTCTATGTTGAAGGAGAAGACACCACGTGTGGGGAAAACAGGATCTTAGAGTGTGGCCATGAAATAAATATGAATGCGTGTGTGTGTGTGTGTATGTGTGTGTGTGTGTGTGAGAGAGAGAGAGAGACAGAGACAGAGATAGAAGCAGAGACAGACACAAAGACAGAGACAGAGATAGCAGAGACAGAGACAGACCCAGAGACAGAAGCAGAGGCAGAGACAGACCCAGAGACAGACACAGAGGCAGAAGCAGAGACAGAGGCAGCAAAGGCAAGGTGTCTACAGCACCCTGCCTGCTCCCCTATTGTCTCAGAGACAGTACACGAGCCTGAGGCCAGGTCATGACATGTCAGGTCACTGTGTGTCCTCCCAGTCAGCTCTGAACCCGCAGCCCCTTCTCTTCCCACTCCTGTTCCAGCCACTGCATGAGTTGGAGTACCTGGTTCCCAGCACCCAGGGCCCCACAGTTCAGGAGCCGGGCCCGGCCCACCCCTCTGTGCTCACATTTGACTAGTCCTCCAAGTACGCAGCTGTCCCAGGAGAAGCATAGCCAAGGGTCGAAGGCAGACGCCACCTCTCACAAAGAATGTTCTGCCAAACTGTCAGGCTCTTGTACTGGATTTTGCATGTATTAAGTTGTAAATGTTTTGGGGAAATGCTCTGGCCTGCTGTTGCAGTCTCTTTGGATGACTCCCACCAAGAGGCAGGCAAGATCAAGAAGGGAGTTTCCCAAACCAGGGAAGCAGCATTGGCACCCTAACACTGTACCCCACAGAGGTGGGCCTCACTAGCACCTTGCTTCCAGCAGGCACAGCATGGGAAGGGCAGGGCTGTTTCCAGAACATTGCCTGTCAAATTCTCCCTGAGGTAGCACGCCCTGCCAGCCATGTGATGAGGACTGGCCACCCCAGGGACAAGTCGTGTTGTAGAAGGTCCCCCTGACATGAGGTGGGAACGTGGCCGTCAGCCTTTGTGGCCTCCTAAAAAAATACATGACTCCAGGCCAGTCCTGAGAAAGCGTCAGGCAAACCCAAACTGAGAGGCGTTTAACAAAACACTTGACCAGCTCTCCTCAAAACTGCCAAGGTCATCAGAAATGGAAAGTCTGACAGTCTGTTACAGCCCAGAGAAACTAAAGTGATGTGACAAATACCTATAACTGTTTCTTGGACAGGATCCTGAAATGGGAAGAGGGAATTAGGGAAAACTAACTAAATCCAAAGAAAGGATGGACTCATGTTGGTAGTAATAGAGTACTGTGGTCCTTTAGTGTGACAAATGCACCAGGCAATGTAGGAGAGCTGGGCCAGGAACTCTTTGAACTATCTTTGCAACTTTCCTGTTAATCTACAACCATTGTCAAATTAAACTTTTAGGCCAGATGTGGTGGCTCATACCTATAATCCCAGCACATTGGGAGGCTGAGGCAGGAGAATCACTTGAGCCCAGGAATTTGAGACCAGCCTGGGCAACGTAGCGAGACCTTGCCTCTACAAAACATAAGAAATAAAAAAAATTAGCCAACCATTGCCATATGCACCTGGGAAGCTGAGGAGGGAAGATTTATTCAGCCCAGGAACTGGAGGCTGCAGTGAGCTGTGATTATGCCACTACACTCCAGCCTGGGTGACAGAATGAGATCATAACTCAAAAAAACAAAACTCTGTTTAAATGTTTGCTTCAAGAGTTCAACATCTAGTCATGCTCTTTTCCAGACACTGGCAACCAGTCGCTACGCAGTGATGACCACCCAATTGAGGCACAGCAATCTCTCACTGGTTTTCCACTATGTCTTCCTCAAGATGTGTAGGGCCCATGGCATCGGTTATGACCTTGAGGTAGGAAGGGTGACAGTTGGCCAGGGCTGTGCCCAGGGTGATCCGGGTGCCCCTTCAAATAGATATTCTTTAAATATTCAACATGTATTAGAACATGGCCTTGTGTGCCCGGGGAAGGGCAGGAAGGCAGCTCCAAAGGATGGCACTTGGTCCTGGAAATTCCAGCTTTGTCCCCAGCATGCATACCCACCTGGGAAGCACCAAGTCACATAGCTCACCAGATGTAGGGGCATCTGGGGTAACCTCTCGGCCTGAAGCACACCTCTAGCCTCCTGACCCCACCACAGCTGCTCCTCACTGAACATCCTCTGCTTTGGTCTGCTGGATGCCACAACAAGAGAGCACACGTTAGGCAGTTTGAACCACAGAAACATGTCTTCTTACAGCTCTGAGGGCCAGGAAGTCCAAGATCAAGACACCAGCAGATTGGCTTCCTGTGAGGGCCTGTCTCCTGGCTTGTGGACAACCACCTGCTTGCCATGTCCTCACATGGTGGAGAGAGAGATCTCTGCTGTCTGTCTCTGCTGTCTCTCCAGGTCTGTCAACCAGAGCTCCGCCCCATCATCCCATTTAGCCCTAACCACCCCTTGAGGGCCCTGTCTCCAATACAGTCACTGGGAGGTGAGGATACAAGTCAGTCCATGGCCTCTGGCTCCCTGCATGGAGTAATGTCTTCCTGGAAGCTTTCCCCATCTGTGGTCTACTCCCAGGGACACAGGGGCCCACCCAGATGCTTTGTCCCACCATAGCTGGGGTAGGCAAGGGCATGGGAGTATCTCCTGCCAGAAGCAGCACTTCCATGTATCACTCTGCAGAGACAGTTTCACGGTTCTCCACTTGGACTCAGGTTTCCTAACACTCAGGGCCATTCTATGACCCTGAGTGACCCTGTGTACTCTGGCCTGTGGATGACCCGTCCCACAGCACGTCACCCACAGTAAAATCTACTCCCCCCTACATTAAACATAACATATATATAATGACATCACAAGAATTGCGCAACAAAACACACTTTGCTGTGTCAAATAGGTCAGATGTTTTGACTTGCAGGCATTCAGTTCCACATTTATTACTTTGTATTTTTTATGCTTGAGAACACCACAATTTTTCAGGGATCAAATATTTGTATAGGCCCTTGTAAAGCACACAGGCCTTCAGCATGGGGCTGGTGGTGAGTAGCAGGGTCTGGCTGATACACAGCAGGCCCCATCCAGCTGCCAGGGCACTATCAGGTGCATGAGGCCGTTTGGTTAGATTAATTCGTGCTGTTTGCACACACATATAATGGAGCTCATATTCCCTTGAAAATTACATTAAAATTGATAAAATAGAGAATGAAACTGATTTACCTGAAATTAATTGTTGCATCTGCTACACACAGTCCCTTTGGAATTAAATAGTTTTTTAGCCCCAAACTGATTTAACTGAAGCACTTCCATGTACCAGAAGGTAGCTCAACTAACTCTAACTTTATCTGAATCTATTTGTTTTATTTTCTTATAAAACATCAAAGCATGAAAGGCTGAGGCAGAAGGATCCCCTGAGCCTAGCAGGTCGAGGCTGCAGTGGCCATGCACATGCCACTGCACTCCAGCCTGGGCAACAGAGTAAGACTCTGACTTAAAAAAAAAATTCAAGCAGAACAAGCTCTGCAAATGGGCACATGTGGTAGGGAAGGCTCCTGCCCTAAATAAAGCGAGCTCCATCACTGCCTATTTCCTGAAATTGCTATCAGAGATGTGCTTCTTGGGCTCAAGGCTTTGTATTAAATTAATGTCCTAGTGCCCTTGGGAAAAGTGGAGCACTTGCCTATATAAGTCACTCACACCTTGGTCTCTGAGTCGATGGGATGCATTTCCAAGAGCAGATGGTAGCAGGGGACAGGTTGCCACGGCCCAGGGGAAGCAGGTGATGGAGTGGAGGAAGGGCTCCATGGAGGGCCAAGAGCATGAGAGGAGAGCACCCAAGGCACAACCAGGGCTCTCCAGGCTCAACGCTGGACACTTAGAGACAATGGAAGGTGAGACGGGCGAGAAGGAAGGATGTGACTCAGGCAACAGTGAAGGAGCAATGAGAAGGGAGAGCCTGCAGGAGAAAAGAGGGGGTGACATCCAGAAATGGGGAGATTCTGTTGGAAAAGGAGGGGTAAGAGCATAAGACACACCACGGTGCAGGAGAGCAAGGGAGCATGGAGTCAAAAAGTCTCAGGCGGGAAGGAGTCCCGGGCCCACCTGAAACTGTGGAAGTCCTGCAGCGGCATCTTTTCGCTCCTCTTCCTGAAGGGAGGGAGCCTCATCTTCTCAGACCTGGGGCCCTAACCCGTCAGACCCTCCACTTGCCCTGTTGCCTGCCTCTTCTCGGGGTGAGTGGTGGATCAGCATTTATGGAGTGCCTACTGCATGCTGGCCACTGAGCCAAGAACACTTATTCATTACCTCAGTTGTTCTTCATGTCTGTCCTGTGAGAAGGCCTCATTTCTTCCATATGACAGTGAGGACTTTAGGTTCAGAAAGCACATTCCCAAGGTCACACAGTCAGGCATTCCTACCTGAAGATAGTTGAAGGCCCAAGGGTTGCTTTACGTCTTGAACAGTGGCGGCCTATTTTCATCCAGACTGATAATCCTCTTGACCATTGAGCTCTCTCAGAAACTTCACAGTTTTCTCATCCGTCTGATTTCAATCAGCTGTAAAGTGTAAGCACTAGCAGCTGTGTGAGTGACTCTTCTCTCACGATATGCTTTGTGGAACTGACTCTTGAACCGCCATTGTCTAGAACCCAGCACAGTTCCTTCTCATGCATCACAGCATCCATGAGCCTCCCTGCCCCGAGAACTATTCCCACTTACTGCCTCTGTTTATGAAGCATCAGCACCACCCTGTCCCAGCCTCTGGACTCCACCCTGGATGAGATGCTCCATCAAGACACCTCCATGGACTCATCAGCTGGACATATACAAGCCTCCCTTCCTGGCCCCACAACTGTCTCTACCTTACAAAGGAAAAAAGCACATTTCATAATTAACGTCCCTAAAGTGTTATTGCCTCCCTGGGTTATACTGATTCTAAAAAGATCATTTACCCAAATTCCAAGGTAACCTCTGCTTTCAACTCCCACTCTTGGTTGATGCAATGTGGGTGTTCTGTCCGGAAAAAGTGATACGTAGTAACGCATCACTGTCAATGCTACCAAAAGAAGAGTCCTTGGAAGTCCTTGAAAGTCTCAACATTGCTCTTCCCATCATTATAGCAGAATTTTAAATAAGGCTCTTGTCCAGAGTCTCAGGGAGGAAGGGAAATGCAATCGATCTGAGCTCTCCTCGATGCATAGCGGAGGGAGCGTCTGTGAGCTGCTTGGTGGGTTGTGTTCCTGGGACTTCTGTCATACTGCAGAACACCCCCCTTGCTTCCTAGTGAGATGGAGCTGTCATGAAAGCCACATGGAGACGGTGTCTGCTGTCCCCTACAGCGTCACACACCCATAGACAGTGAGCCACGGGCCAAGCAGCTCAATGCCAATGGCTGCAGGCCCAGACCATGTCCTGGGGGTACATGGCAGTCACACCTCATCAGCCCTTTGAAGTTAGGCATGGCTGTGAAACTTGTCATGGCCCATGAGATCTGAGCAGAAGTGGGCCTTGTCCTTTGTATGCAGAAGTCTCTGAGAGCTCCGCAAGTGGCCATGCCCCATGTCCTGCCTTGGAAGCCATGGAAGCACATGAAGACAGCCTCCTTCCACCTGGCTCCCCAGTGTCCAAGCAAGGGTCAGAGACACACACCAGCCTTCGTGGGAAATGGAGTACGGGCAAGAACCACAATTCCTGTCGTTAGAAATGACCCAAATTACTTCCATTCAATCACTGCAGCACAACCCCATCTATCTGATTGATGCAGAAACTAGTATCAAAAGAATTGCTCCCCAAACAGAAATATAAAATTCTGGTATCGACTTAGCAGTCAAGCAGTGATAGGCAAGGAGCCTGTTCATGGAAACTCGAGGAACGACCGGGTCACGAGGCAGGGAACTGGTAAGACAGACACCTGCAGCCACTTAGGAGGCAAACAACACACCTGGTGTGCCTCTAGCTCTAGGAGAAGTAACTAGAAACTATCACATCAGCAGTGTACGCTGGGCATTGCTGGTTGCATTCACAAGGTGTTACACAAAAATGATGGGCTTCTCAATGGATTGGGCATCTTGCAGAAATGGAAGAGAGAGATTGCAGAAAGTTGGTACTACTTTGCAAATTCAAGGAAATTAAACTGATCTTAAACCTCAAAAAAGAGAATAAAAAATTAAAAAGGTAAAAGCCAATTAAAACTCAGCCTTACAATAATGGTCAAATTAAAGAGATGACTAGAACCTACTATTAAAACCTCTGAATAAATTAAGGATCCAAAAAGATGAATATTTTCATTTAGAAAGAGTTGCTCGGGAAAAAGAGAGGGGAAGGGCATGCAGCTCTCCCACTGAGGCCTGCAGGCTTAGGTTACCTGAAAGTAAGAGAGGAGAGCATGGAAGCAGGAGAACAAAGAAACAACATCCAAAAGCAGATCTGGGCAAGGACTGCATGTGCAGCTGCTGGTTGCAGCTGGTGGAAATCACATCGATGAGAAACCAGCTAAATTTTTGAGAGAGCTCAACAGTTGAGGGAAATATCATCTGAATTAACAGAGACCATCACCATTCAGGACTTCAAACAACCCTCAGACCCTCAGATGTCTACAGGCAGGAAGGGGGTGAGACAGTCTTAAAATTGCTAAGGAAGGCGTCATCTCTAAGGTCTAATCAGGCCTAGTCAAAGAATATTCCCCATGCAAAGGACAGCGGCCCCTAAAATGTCTGCCCAGTGAGACTTCAGAATTGCTCCAGACCCATCTTCTGTCTCTTGTTCTTTCCCTTTCCAAACAGGAGTGCTTGTTGCAGGTACCAGTCCCTGTTCTACCAGTGTTTGAGTAGCGAGGGCCAAGCAGATGGTTTGTTTTTGTTTTGTTTTGTTC